CAAGTGTGCGTCTCCGCCCAGAGCGCGCGCCCTCTCCACCCGGATTCGACCTCGTGACTGAGATGCTGCTAGCTAATTAGGGTCGGTGGTGAAGACTAGGGTTTCACACCCAATTAAGGACATGCCTTTCCCTTCTAATTGCGCCCGGGCACAGAAAAGTAACAGAATAACTTTCAGAATTAAAGACTGGTTTTGCAGACTTGATGTGGCCATCCGTCTCCCGCCCTGAACTTGGCCACATACCGAACCTCTCTTGGGCGGGTTTTGCAACACCTTGCTGTACAAAGCAGCTCTCATCTGGGAGGATCATAAAAATTCTTCAGAAACCACAGCATGTTACTTGAAAGACAAAAAAGGAAAATCTTCGTAAGCTAGGCATTAAAGGGTCATTGCTGCCTTTATGATTCGGCCTTATGTTGTGGCAGAGTGAGGAAGCTCTGAATTCTGTCATCCAGAAGGAATGAGTTCCCACCTCCACCCGAATGAACTATAAATCCAACACAACAGTCGGGGTAGGTGTTGTTAAAGGCAAGGGAAACAAGGATGGTAGTCTGTGAAGGCAGCGGGACACTTGTTTTAGAATATATGTATATATTTGATATATGTCTGTATATGCGTGTGTATATATGTATATATTTATGTGTGTATATATATGTTAAAATAAAAAAGTGTTCAGCTGCCTTCACAAACTTTACAACTTATACATATATTAGATATGATATATTACATGTTATATATTATATTCTCATGTATTCTATAATATATATATTCTGATATATTTTATAATATGTGTTCTAATATATTTTATAATATATATTCTAAAAGAAGTGTCCTGCTGCCTTCACAGACTTTACAATTTGTACATATAGACATATAATATTTATATATGTATATATTCTGAGTTAAGTGTATCTATATATATTGCCACTCACTCATGGAAATAGCTACTTTGGAAATATGCATGGCATGGTTTGATACTTTGTTAATTGACCAAGCCTAGAAGAGGTCTTCCCAGGGCTTCTGGAAAGAAGTCGTCCAAGCCATACAGGAATCAGTTCGAATCTAGATGGCGCCACTGATGGAAATTTTGTATCATTCGTTGCCTGAAGACATACCACTTAGGCCTCGATCTTAGAAGTTAGGCAGAAAATTCCGATGGTTGTTTAGTTGCAGAAGAACAGTTTCAGATTTCAGTAGATAGATTTCACCAGAATTCAGATAAAACCTTTTACTGAGTGCTGTGTAGTGGGAACGTAATAGGTCATTTCTCATGCTCAGTGCATTTGTTTCCATTTTCTCAGAGGAGCTGTTGCACAGCCATTCGTGGGGCCTCGGATGTCTTCGCTTAGGAACATTTTCCTCTCAAGGAGTGATTCAAGTGTTTGTAAGCACTCACTGTGGGTAGGTTTGCAATCCTCTGCTTCTCATCTCTCCCTCATGACGGGATGACCCCGTGGGGGTTTGTGTTGGTTTCCTGTGTTGGGGATTCATGATAACCTAGTTGGTTGGCTACGTTCTATTGCAATCCTTGGCCCTTCTGCCTCTGCAGGTGGAGCCAGGCCAGTCACGACTAACCAAAGATGATGCAACTTATTTGATAATTATGATAAGGATAACCACAGTAATCAGACACTTGTTCCAGTCCGAGCCCTGCTGAATCATCACCGCTCACGAAGAGTCTCTGCAGCCTCCCCCAGTGCCGTATTTCGGCGCCTGGCTTTCTGGAGATGTTTCACACCAATGGGTCCCCTTTTCAAGCAACTCCAATTTCACTTGTTGGAGAAGTGTTCCAACCCAATGTATGTTTTCAAGCTAGGTGCAGCCAACGTGGAAATGCCCTCTCTGGTGATGACAATGAATTTTTCACCTTGGAGATATCACACCCAGTTCCCTGGCTAGGGAGATCCTGAATTCCAAATGGGCTTAAAGCAACAAATTCATCCAAGGTGGAATCCTGGATTCCACCTTCTAAATCCTGGATTTAGATTTATGTAAAATCAATCATGGGCCAGCCCCGTGGCCTAGCGGTTAAGTGCGTGTGCTCCGATGCTGGCGGCCCGGGTTCGGATCCCGGGCGTGCATCCACGGGCCGCTTCTCTAGCCATGCTGAGGCCACGTCCCACATACAGCAACTAGAAGGACGTGCAGCTATGACATACAACTATCTACTGGGGCTTTGGGGGGAAAATAAATAAAATTATAAAAAAAAAAATCTATCAATCATCAATAATTAAAACAAAACCCTAAGCCTCTCTCTACCAACTGAAGTTCAAAGATCTGAAAATGTGGCACTCTGGGTGCTCTTATTCATGAATGGAGCGCTGACTTACAAAAATAATGCTTGTAAACTTGTCTATGTATTCTGAGGCTTTTCTTGAGTGATTTTGAAGAAAACCCTATAGGAAGCCACTGAGCATAGTAACATGGTCTGGGCTAGACCAGCCTGTGATCACAATATGCTGAGTTTACTCCTCACCCAAGATATGCGTGAGAGTTTTTACTTCTCAGATGCTGGAGGGGTTTATGGAAAATCTACGCTGTGGTACTGAAGTCTCAAAGGTGAATAATGCTTCCTGAAATGTAAACACGTGTGCTGGAAAGAGCCATCCTTCATCTAAAAGGGAAGTTGGTGTTACATGACTTTGTGGTTGCTGTTTGACTGGATTTCTGAGCTTAAACTTTAAAGGTCCTATTTGACCCAAAAAATAATGGTGGTGGTTAGTAAGTAAGCAAGTTAGTAAGGAAGATGACTTAAGAGGAAGTCCACCAAGGGCATCCGTCTTTCTTTTCCATGATATGTCAATGAGGTTTCCTTTGTATGCCAATAATCTCAACATGAGAAAGCAAGTAAGTAGATTGAAACCATGAGCCAAGTGACTTGCATTCTAAAATCTACAGAACTGACTTTATCACTTGGATCAGATAATTTTTATTCTCCTTTTTGCTCATATGCTAGTGTCTGAAGCTTTTAAGGAACACAAAGT